AAACTTAAAAAAAAAAAAAGGAAGACTAAATGACTGCAGAAATTGAAAGCTGCAGGGGCTGGAAGAGAACTAATCCTGGGTTTCCTTGCAATTGATTTAAGATTCTAATGAAAGCTAAGGATTCTTTCCTTCAGAAAAATATGCATGCTGGTAAAATTTTGCATATAAATTTTGGGGTTGATAGACCATTTGAAATCCCTCCATGGATTCTAGATTAAGAATCAAAAAACCCACCAATTTGAAAATTGGGAAACTGGGGGCCAGAGATGAGAGATGGGTTTCATATCAAGTTAATTGCAGAAGATAGTCACTTGTATTTGTGTTAAAGGAATGCCAGCAATATTCCCTCTCCTTTTGTTGGCTGATGTCATAGCCCAGACTGGTAAGGGAAGCTACTCTTTCCTTCCCAAAGAAACTTCAATTTGAAGGTAGGGTAACCTAAGACAAAAATGGTAAATTTATTTGAAAGATTGATTTCTTTGATAACAAGATGGGATGATTAGAATTTTTTGTGTAATACTTTGATTTATTTTCTTTCTCCTTTTGTTTTTGGTTCAGCCCAAGAAGAAGAGAGGAAAAGTGGAAGTGAGACCCATTAATTTGGGAACAGATTATGAATATGGGGTTTTAAACATTCACCTGACTGCATACGACATGGTCCTGGCAGAGAGTTATGCCCAATATGTTCACAACCTCTGCAACCATCTATCCATTAAAGTTGAGGAAAGGTATGAAGGATGCCTTTGCATGGGATGTTTTTGGTGTGAGTGGCATGCTCTGCTTTGTCGTTAAATGAGATTTTGAGGTATAATTTACATTTAGTAAAATTCATCCTTTTAGGTATCTAGTTTACCACAATCAGAATGTAGAACAGTTCTATTAACCCCAAAATTTCCCCAGTGCCCTGGTGTAGTTAAATCCCAACCAACAATTGATTTGCTGTCCCTGTTGTTTTAATTTCTCCAGAACATCATGTAAATGGAATCATACGGTATGTAGCTTTTTGTGTCTGTCCTCTTTCACCTAGCATAATACGTTTAATATTCATCCATGTTTTTGCAAGTATTTTATTGCTGAGTAGTATTCCATTAAATGCTGGACCTTAATTGGTTTATCCATTCACCAGTTGATGTACATTTTCATTTTTCTCTAGTTTATTGGTAATTATAAATAAAGCTGTCATAAGCATTCTCATGCATGTATCTTTTCTCCTGGATAGCCACCTAAACCTGGGATTTGGAGATTGTATGGTGAATGTATGTTTAACTTCGTAAGAAACTGACGTCTGTTTTCCAAAGTGGCTGCACCATTTTGTTTTCCCACCAGCAATGTATGAGAGTTACAGTAACTCCTTTTCCTGGGCAGCACTTGGTATTGTCATTTTTTTCCCTAAAGATATATCTAATAGATATATAGTATTTCATAGTGAGTGGTCTTAATTTTCATTTCCCTAATAAATAATGATTTTGATATCTTTTCATGTGCTAATTTGGTGTATATTTGCTTTGATGACTGTTCGGATCTTTTGTCCATTTTTAAAATTGGGTTGTTTGTTTTCTTATAATTAAGTTATGAAAATTCTTTATCTATTTTTGGATACCAGTTCTTTTTCAGTATGCTTTGCAAATATTTTCTTCCTGTCTGTGACTTATCTTGTCATCTTCTTAGCTGAGTCCTTTGGAAGGCAGACTTTTTTCAAGTTTGATGAAGTTCAGTTTATTAATTTTTTTTTATTCATGCTTTTGGTGTCATATCTAAGAAAGTATTGTCTAACCCAAGATCACAAAGATATTCTCCTGTGTTTTCTTCTAAAGGTTCTATATTTTTAAGTTTTACTTTTAGGTCCATGATCCATTTTGAGTTATTTTTGTATATGGTATGAGATATGAATCAAAGTGTTTTTCGTTTTTTTTTTTTTTCATGTAAATAACCAGTTGTTCCAGCACCATTTGTTAAAAAGATTTTCTAGCTTTTATCAAATTGTCTTAGCACTTTTTGAAAGTCAGTTAACCATGTATGTGTGGGTGTATTTCCAGACTCTCTTCTGTTACAGCGATGTATGTATCTATACTTATACCAATACCAGACTGTCTTGATTACTGTAGCTGGATTACTGAAACTACAACTTTTTTTTTTTTCAAAATTATTTTGGCTATCCTAGGTCATTTGGTTTTCCTTAAACGTTTTATAATTATAGTTTGTCGATTTCTACAGAAAGGAACCTGATGGGATTTTATTGGGATTGTGTTGAATCTGTAGGTCAATTTGAAGAGAATTGGCAACTATTTTGATTCCTCTGATCCTTTAACGAGGTATATCTCCCCATTTATTTAGGCTTTCTTCGCCTGCTCTGGTTTTCATTTACTGTTTGGATTTGTTGGAAAACTGTAGGGGAAGAGAACTAACAATTACTGGCTATCTACTCCAGGCCAGGCACTTTACATATCTTATCTCTCAGGGTTTCAGAAGGTGTGAGATGCCCTGTAGTTTGCTTTAAATAACATTAAATCACATGGTGAGAGATTTCTTCCCTTTTTAACTCTCATTCATCCTAATTATGTCAAGGAGAGATTTTTTAGTGTGGTTCTGGTATGTCCTTAACACCACTCTAGCACCTCCTAATCTTTATAGCAGAGAAAGGACCTCAGACTCAAGAGTCTTTGGCTAGCAATCATGTCTAACGAGAATTTTATACCATTATTTTGTTTCTGTTGTACTTTTTAAAAGTAAGCTCTAGGCTCAGCATGGGACTTGAACTCATGATCCTGAGATTAAGAGTCATGTGTTCTGGGGCACCTGTCATGTGTTCTGTGGTTCAGTTGGTTGAATGTCTGACTCTTGATTTCAGCTCAGGTCATGATCTCATGGTTCGTGAGTTGGAGCCCCACGTGGGGCTCTGCACTGACAGCATGAAGCCTGCTTGGGATTCTCTCTCTCCCTCTCTCTGCCCTTCCCTCCGCAAAATAAATAAACTTAAAAAAAAAAAGTGTCATATATTCTACGGACTGAGCCAGCCAGGCACCCCCATTGTAATTTTTTTTTAACTTCTATGGATGGCAGCTGATACTGGTCTTCCATTTACAATAGTGATATAAAGTCAGGCTTACTGAGATATAGTTTAAATTCAGTAAAATTCACCCCTTTAGTGAACAATTTCTGAGTTTTGACAAATGACAGTATGTACTATCATCATCCAGATGTAGGACATTTACATTATCCCAGGAAGTTCCCTCCCACGTTTGTAGTCAGTCCCTCCTCTTAGCCCTAGTCCCTCACAACTAATGATCTGTTTTCTGCCCCTATAGTTTTTTTTAATACTTTTTAAAAAAA